CCCCCCCGCTAATTCAATATTTTATACCTCCTTATAAAGATAGACCTTGCATCCTTAGTTGTCTTGAAACCATTGTTCTTTCCTTAAGTATTTTCGACACTCCATATTTTGCTCTTACAACTTTGCCCGACAATAGAGTTGGAGTTCATCTTCGACTATTATTCTCCATTTACCTTAACATGATCTTACCTATGCTTGAAAACTAGGGAAAAGATAGAAAGGAAAGCTACGAGGGAAGCATATGAGAGGATTGGGGAGAAAAAATTGGTGGGCCAAGTAAGTTATTTCTCCACCCGTTCTTCCTCCACTTCCTTTTGTCAAACCACGAGAGTGGAAAGAGTAGAACTTCTCCCCAAAGCATAAACAAGTTCTAGGAACATGAAGTTTCAATTGCCTCTCAAAACTGTTACAGTTTACAGCCAACAGATTGCAAATAGAATCTTCCTATCAAGAAAGCTCCATGCGGAAGGGGGTGAGGGGGAGGAAAAGAATGTAGCATTAAAACACATAAAGAAGGAAATTCAAACACATTTTCCAAGCTTCTAGGGTTAATGATCTCCTTAAAATGCAGCACTGTGGGTTGCCACACTCTCTTTTTTTCTGATAAGGTCAGATTTTATGGTTTGCTTATACTCCTCACACTGTCTTCAAATTTTTGATGCCAAAACTACGGACCGACCAACTATTTGAAACTCCAAGTGAAAATGGTTGTGGGATAACCAAGTTCAAAAATACCATATGATAACAAGCTCTGGCATTGCACTAACCATAAATATGCTTTCAGGTATGTTTTATTTCAACTGCTACACTATATAATCAATATCATGAAGTAATGTGGTAGATACCTGTCTCCATCCCTGCTGAGCGGAAGTGCTTTCTGCACTCGGTTGTGTTTCAGGTGATGCAATTAACTTGTGCCACAGCAATGAGATAACAGAAAAACATAGTTCTTGTTTCTCCGCGAGTACCGACTTTATAAGATCTGGTGCATTGCAATTAAATCCTATATGCCTGTCCATTGTTAGAAAGTTGGCCAAATCTGAAGCATCTATAGGGAAACTTGCGATCCCTTTACCGGTGGTGCATTGTGCAACCTTGCTTGAGTGCAGAGCTTTCTCACTCATAGTTAAAGTCTTACATTCGGTTGAGTCTTTGCACTCGAGCAACAATGACTGTTCTGCAGTTAAGCAATTACAATTGCTATATTTATTATGTTTTTTCCCATTCAAGCACGAGCTTCTTTTCTTAAGAACAGGTGCAGGTATTAGGTGTGCTTCCAATGGTTCGGCCTTGTCGACAATTGATGCAACAACTTTGCTATGAATATCAATGAGGTTATATAGTGAAGATGCTCTGGAGTGGATTTCATTATCCCACTTACACCGTATTAAGATCGAAAGAGCCTGCATGCAAGCCTTGGAACGTCTAAACAGATCAGAAATATGAGCTGCTACCATAGCTGCAGCAACTATCTCATTTGAGCTGTAACTCGAAGAAGTGCCAACAGACGATGGTTTCAAAGAGAAAAGAGCCTCCAGAATTGCCAATATCCTCCGAGTATGACAGACAGCAGAATGAATCCCGTTTCTTAACTCAATAGACGAATCATTGGCACACTTTGCAGCATTGAGGATGGTTTTTGGATCTGAATAATTAGTCCCTCTTGAAATCAAAGGGAAGAGCTGAAGTTCAAATGAAAGAGCACAGACAGCAGCAAGAACATAAGAATCAAACGTTGAAACAGGTCCTTGCTTTTTCACTTTCTTAGTTCCTTTTTCTCTCTGTTTTCCACTGGTTTCCAGTGAGTCTATCCCCATTTCAATAGGTCGGTAAGAATCTTTCCCTACAGGTCTTCTGCTCCCATTTGTTTTTGCTTCATGACTGACGCATACAGTTAAGACAACAAAAAGAAGGCGAGAAGAAAGCTCTACAGAAGCACATGACTCCAAGAATAGTGAATGAACCATTGTTCGCAATTCTGCCACGGCAAGGTTTTTGGAGGCAGAGCCAACAACATATCTGGTTTTCCTGATTTCTTCTCTGGAGGACTCAGGTGGGAACGTTCTCTGAAGAATTGCTTCAACTGTAGCAGCAAATATTTTCATGAGACAAGTTTCAGATGGACTCCCACGAGGAAGACACTCAAGAACCTTAAGTAGTGGTATATACAGGTTCCACGATAAATTGGGCGGTTGTAGAGGGGTTGCAACTATAATTTCAGGAAGATCAACAGCTGATGAACTTAAAGGAATCAAGCCATATGCAGCTTCCCATATGGTACATATTCTCCATTCAACCTCAGGCCCATGTGCACAAAGCATTGATGCAATCCCTTGCGCAGTGGCTTCAACCGTGGCTTCTGCTGCAGGCACTTCTCTCTGAAGAACAAAATTTCATGAGTGATAGGTAGTCAATATCACAAACAACTACTGGATAAATTTTGAGAATTCTGCAGAAAGAACGGAATTTTATCAACAATACATTCAAATGGATATACCTGTTCGTGTTGAACTTCAATTCCTTCAACTTGTCTTAATGGAGGAAAGAGCAGAGCAGGTTGTGAAAGTATTCGGAAAAGTAAAGCAGCTGCAGCATCTGCAGAAATGCCTGCTCTCATGGACATTGCAATTCCAATTGCACGCAAGAAATGCAAATGCATCCAATTCCTAGGAAGCTTCATCAATGCATAGAAGGTTAGAAATTCTACATGTAAACTGAAAACAATAACAATTAAGACAGGACAAACATCAGTTAGTGGAGTATTAAATCAGGTATCCTAGGATTTGATATGTAGACTTCCATAGTTAATAGAATATCTTTTGGTGGTGAACATACAAGAGTTCATAATTTATGCAAAGGACTTCATAGAAAGCTGAGAAAAAGAATTAAAAAACTGGCAATGTGCAAGAAGGTCAGTCATTACAAAATGGCTCTATGTGATGCATCTAAAGACTGTAGGGATATTAAGCAATGACTTGGACAGATGAAAGAACAGAAACAATATCATGTCTGTTTGGTATACCTAGGACCATCCTACATGGCAAGGATCTAAAGAAATTATGGTAGACGAAAGGACTGTCAAATGATGGATACAAGGCTATGAGCCTTGAAAACAGAGACTCGAATATTCGGCCTATAAATAAAACAATACAGTATTTCTGATCCTCCAAGTCCAGCAATCAAATATTGTTCATGGCACTATTTAATTCTGAGCTCTAAGTTTTTTTTTTTTTTTAATAACATATCTAATATATTTATTAAATCATCAGAACAAAATTTGTGCTGGGAGCCAGAATGTACATCATGAAGAGCTATGACAAAAACCAAAAACAAAACATCCTTGTTCTTCTCATAAGGAGTCTAAGACTTCTATGATTGAATCCTGGTCATCAATGTATTCTTATTTACACCAAAAACTAAAAAGAAGAATAAATTCATCTTAATCTTCTGTGTAGAGATTCAACAGTCAGTAAACCATTGCTTTTTTGAAATTAAATACAATGAATCCTCATTCATTGGTTATTCTTTGGGTACAGAACATCCTCCAGATAAAGACTGCCGAAGGAACATTAGTCTGCAAGAAGAGCCTGATGTCACGACCCTTGTCTTCACTGATCTTTTCATAAACTTTTGGAGCCGAAGCACCAATTTAAAATTCTTGACATTCCAAGTTTACAAAAATGACCTATTAGCTGAAGCTGATATTGATCTAGAAATTGCAGGTATTCAAATCTGACTTAGGGCTTTACCTCCTCAGGTAACTTCAAGAAACCTCCATAACTAGCATCTAGCCCTTGAAACATGAATTCGAAGCCTCATAGCTATAGGCTCTGGGAAGTAGGGAAAGGAAGAGGGAGTAAGGCAAACAAGAAAAAGGGAAAAAATAGGAAAAAGGTGAACATAGCTATTTGTTTCCTCTGATATGCTCGAAAATGAAGTTGGAATAGTAAACTAATACTCCCTCCGTTCCAATTTATGTGAACTTATTTGACTGGGCAGGAGTTTAAGAAAGAAATGAAGAATTTTGAAACTTGTGGTCCTAAACAAAACATTTATGTGGCTATAATTCTTTTGAAACTTGTGGTGTAAACATGCCAGAGTATTTGTGTGGCTATAAAAGCTTCTCATTGAGGGTAGAATTGGAAGTTTAAGTTAAATTGTTTCCACGTAGTATTTGTTTTCCCTCTCTTAATGAGTGTAAAAAACAAGGGTGGAGCAAATACCAGGGCCTTGACCTTCTGATTTCACTTTGTTTCTTCTTTTTGATAAATAACTTCTACTAAAATGAACCTCTGAGTTCAGTCACTTACTGTGTTAGGACAAACAACTCAGACATCAGAACCGTTACTGCTAATATACCAATAAGGGTGGTGGGACCATCCAAAGGCCAATCGATAATTGTACTTTGATAAAGTTTTGTGAGATGTTTTGAGAGTGGAAGAAGATTTACTGATTCAAAAAGTGCCTGAACGCACTTCTCCGCCATTTTTTCTTTTTTGAAAAGACTTTAGCCAAACACTTATTTCCAAAAATTCTTCCATTTTTTTCAAACAATTCTCTTGTCCAAATTCCAGACACCTCCTCAATCCTTTACAAGGAAAATTAGGGTATAAACGAAGATCTGAAACTAATTACCCATAATATGGATGACCTTTTAGGATGTTCTTTGTTTGTATCACTGTATAACTAAAACAAATTGTCCTAGTGTTCCTTTTTGTTTGTCGTAGGAGAGTGAGGGAGAAAATACATGTTCTCCTCTCCTCGCCATAAAAACACACGACTTAGTGATGTAGGAACTGAAAAACAAAATAAGCAGGGTGAATTGGTTTCCTATCCATCCGTAATTATGCTCCATCTTTTCCTTCATAAACTTTCAGAGTGTTGTTTTGCCTCGCAGCATCACTAAAGTTCTCTTCCTCTGTTCCTAACCTCCTCGTATAAATTGGAAATGAGTTTTAATACTTGTTGGTAGCTTAATAAAGTTGTGCTAGACTGAGTTCTCCATAACTCTAGTAGTTCATACTTCAGTTAAGATATTTATGACACAAAGAGTTTCGTTAATTGGCAGGTTCTAGCAGGAAAAGCATAATACTAGGCCAATGCCACTTTCTAGCAAGAAAGGCATAGTACTATACCAAATGGACTATTCAGACTTCCCAAATATAGTGTGTTATGATATTTAGTTTTTATTAATTGCAGACATAATTGTCAACCAAGCTTCCTGCTCTACGTTCTCTACTTAACATCCCTCAGCCCTTCATTAGCTTTCAAGGCACTCTTATCAATCTGCTTTAAGTAAGGATAATAGGACAAAGGGATGAAATATCTCCCTTTCTTTTAATTAGTATTGACTGTTCAACTGTATGGTCACTTTATTTAAAAGCTTAAGTTATTAGAGAGGATACACTTCTATTTACTCAATTATACCTTCAACACGTCCCCTCACGTGCATGCTTTGATTTTTTATTTTTTTTTGGGCAAAGCATGTAGAAATACTTTTTCATAATGGGGTGGTGGCACTTGAACCCGGGACTATGTTTGCATTATTAAATTGTGTGATCATCTCATCTAAAAACTTAAGCAATTAGCTAAGAAGCTTCAAGTTCATTTTCCCCTTGAGCCTCTTGTTTAGCTGAAAACTCTCTTTATTCCAGTTTATGTGAACCTATTTCCTTTTTGGTATGTTCCAAAAAGAATGGCCCCTTTTAAAATTTGGAAACAACCCTGCAGTTCCTTCTCGACTCGGACCATTATCTCGTCAATTCTAGGTTCTTCCTCAAGAACCGTATCATCATAGATCAGCTTAGGAATTTTCATGTGTAAGCTAAAGCACTACCGACTTTGGTGAGCCTAAGGTGTTTATGCTATGGGGGAGCAGAGTAAAATAAAAGATCAACTAGGATGGGATTTACGCACTTCTTGTAAACCTAGAAAAACAAGAATCCTTTGCAAAATCGATTCAAAACTGAAATTGTCTCCATAATTTTTATGGAAGTTAGTGAAGCAAAGAAAAGTCTAGATTTGCATGAAGTGTATAAACCTGCACTAGAATGGTAACATGTATAGAAGATTAATGATGCTGGTAGAAACATCACACAGTACTTAAGATGTAACACCACTCAATTCATATCGTAAACAATTCAATCCTGTGCCCAATAGATCATGCTAGTTCAAAAGTGTCAGCATACTGTACATAGAAACCTCAAAAGAAAAGCTGAGTAAATGATAAAGATGGCCAACACATTCAAATACTCACCAAGAGCTTGTTCAAACTACTCTGTTTGAAATTTTATAACATACCCGCAAGCCAGAAGCATAATCTTCAGCTGCTCGAAGAAGTTCCACTAGTTGAACAGCAGCATCAAGTGCATCTGGAGCCCATGACGGTGGAGCTTCTAAAAGTCCAAGAAGAAGCCTCTGGGTCGCACTTGGAGTAGCAATTGCATAGTATCTAGTCCAGAAACACAAGTTAAAAGTAACTTTCCTATACCAAAAGCCCTAAAAGATAAGATGACCAATGCTCTTACCGATGAAACAATCGTGCATACGGCTCAAGTGCTGGTAGCCCTGCAACAAGATGCTCATCCATGGGTGTTGTGGGAGGTGGAAGCAGAAGAGCAGGGACGGCCACTGCAGTCAAGGTAGCTGTCTCATAACGAGCAACTTCTTCATCACAAACACTTAAAATAACACCAGCACCATTAGCAACTGCCCACCTCGGAGTTGAAGGGATTAACTGAGGATGCTTTCCAGAGCCACGAGAAGAAGCTACGATAAAATCTAAAGTCAATAAAGTATATCACAATTCTAAAATATGAACATTCTTTCGGAATACTATCACATAATTCCATATGAAAGTAAATTTATTGGTGTAATAGGATGGATACAAAAAAGAATTGCAAGGAAAGAATGCAAATATATTATGAAACATATATAATAATTCATACAACCGGCACTGTGAACTTTCATATATGGAAAGAGGTTAGATTTTCTACCAAGAAATTGGTTGTATCCTTCTCTCTATGAGGTACCTGATATCTTGTGTCACAAGGATAACTGGAGACGGGAAGCAAGTGTGGCCTCCAATAAACAGGAAGGAGAAAAGGATTGTTCTACATGCCCCATTAATCAGGTAACTGTTTTAGATATAACTAAAATGTGAAAAGTTACACTCGAGTGTTATACAGAGTTGCAAGTGTAAGTCTCCCATATCGAGCAAATGTAAATATACAAAATGTATAGTGTGGCTGTTAAAGGATTCATGCGTAAGACATTAGTGTCATACATCCTTGCAATTCTCTCATACTTTTCATATGGTCTCAGAACAAATGTGAGAACTAAACTCTAGCTATGAGCTGTGCGGTCACCAGTGACGTGTAAGAGAGAAAAAGATCGTCAACATGGTTTTCCAGCAATCACCGAAATGTCCAGGATCTTCTTACTTTTGTGAGTGTTGTGCATATAAACTAGCACCAGCTATAGGACCAGGAGTACGAACAGAACCTGAGAAGCTGTGCAGTCACTTGAAGCTAAGTCATGTTTGGATCTCAGAAAATCTGATGCCACGCTCTCCTGACATCGCATGTGTACCCTATCCTACAAGCTTCAGTCCAATTTTCTGGCTTCTTGGTGATTGACTCAGGCTTTGATCTCACACATCCCTCCAAGTATGGAACCCTAGTCTGAATGAGTCAATCTCCTTTCTGGTGAAAATTTTCAAATTTCAATGATCTGTGGTTGGAGTCTCTTTCACTTTTGGAGTCAACTGAGGCATACAAACTGCTCTATCTAACTTCAAAAAAAATTCCAGTAGGTTTTTGGTGGTTTTCTGATAGATTTCTAACTTACATCCAGCTCTATCTTGTCACTATTCCAATCACTTTTCAGTGATTTTTGATCATCACTGCAATTGAACCATGCTTGAGACACCACCTATTCATTTTCAGTTATTTCTGGTGTTATCTAGCTATACTCTGAGTAGCAGTCCCAGGCAAACTTTATTTCCAAGTTGCTTGCAAACTCTCTCAGAAGCCTCATCTATGGACCTGCGTTTAACCCTTCATTTTTATCTTAGTTATGAATGAACTAATCAATGCTATACAAAATAATATTGTGTTAAATAACAAAACCAGCAAGGGGGTTATCAAGAAGTAAAAGCTATGAAGCAAGACTTGGAGAGTACAGACTATGGAAAGTAAACGTAAAACATCACAACAACACCAACAACAAAAACAACTACGCCTCAATCCCAAACAAGTTGGGGTCGGCGATATGAATCCTCATTCCTTTCATTTAGCTCAACTCATATCATCATTGTTATCAAAATAAAATAAAAGTGCCAAAGTAAGACATTATATATCATTACAAATATATCTTCCACCGGAAGAATGACGATGGAGTGAAATTACACGGGATTTCAGTGTCTAGAAAGCTATTGACTTGGTATTTTCCTGTCCAAGGCCTATTTATTGAAACTTTAGTAAATTTTTGGGCCTTTTTACATCTGATATGAATTGATACAAAATTGATGCGTTGTCACCTTGATGGAGCAATGCTAGTAGCATAGAGAGCGGGAGAGGAGACATCATATTGGACTCCAGGATATATAGTAAGAGACTACTTAGAAATAATGCTGAGATAACATAACAGTAAACTAGAACTCCGGAATCAATATAGACTAAATTTCCAATAAGCTCCTTAAACATGAATAACGAGACAATTTAACTAGGCAATGACAACAGATGTGGTAATAAAAAGAACGTCAATAAGCTATTCTCAGGTTTTATTAGCAAAGGTCTGAGAAGACTTCTAGCATTCAAGAGATACATTCATAAAACACCTTATCAGCAAGTATTCACACCAGTTGATGGCAGCTTTAGTTCAAGAAATATTCAAGAATATTCCTAGACATAAATATTTCAAGAAAGGAAATGCACATACCAGTTGATGGCGGCTTTAATTCTCCGGCAGCATACTTCCCCATAACACCACCACACCTACATATACGTGAATCACCTTTCTACATCAACTGCAGGAAAGTGTAGTTCTAACTTCCTAATACTCATCAGTGTCTAAAGTCTATGAATTAGCCTAAAAACATAATTTAACATGATAAGATTCAGGCCAGAGTGACAATGTTCCTAAAGTTCTTTAACTTGAGAAGCACCAAAAACCAGATAAAACATTTGGTAGGATATTTTGATCATTGAGTAGGCTAGCCCATGTAGCTTACAAGGCAGTTAAAAATGGAGACTGTCAGCAGGCTTGAAGGTGCCTAGCTTGGGAGCACCCTGCTGCTTTTCTGATTTCCAATGAAAATAGAGGTAGATAGCGTACTGAAATAGGAAATAGGCATATGAGTGAAGCCCTTGTGCTGCCGGACCACTAGAATCACGGGTTGAGGAAGAATACAGTTTTGCTGGGAGTTTGGACAGATTATCCATTCACTTGTCCCATATAGGTTTTTTTCAACAGATTATACGGATGTTGATTTAAGATTATAACTTTAACCAACTTGTTCAGGGTCAAACTACTCATTAAAGAAAGCAGAAAATACCAAGTTTTATCTGTGATGAAAATGGCAAAGCTATTAAAGGCATAGGGAGATCCTTGATTTAAACTTGATCATTCAATCTTTATATTCTCACTACTAAATACAATGCACTTTTGCAGTTTCAGATTTTAAAATTTGTTTAAAATTTTTGTTAAATACTTTAGTGATCTCTCACATATATATCTATGCTACGTGTGTAAAAATGTTGGGCTCAGTTGAACCCGTAGATTATACATAGCATTTAACTCGGCTTAAAGGGTTTGGATTACACCGAGAAAATGAACTAAGTTTTTAACCAACCAAACTTGATCACAATTACAACATCGAAAATGGAGAGGTCGATGACATATGGAGGTGCCAGATTGTTCAAATTGATTACAATTGAAGACAAAGCTGGAAGAGCTATCAAAATTTTCTGTTAGTTTAGAGGAAGAGAGATCCGGAAAGAAGGTGATACAAGATTCAAAGTTCGGATATATGACTGGACCAAGGAAAATGGGTTAATTCGTGGTCCTACATTGCTAATATGATAGGCCCAATAGTATAGTAAACGAGGAACCTCAACTAATTCAAGAAAAATGGAGTCATTTATAACAACTCAAATCAGTACGCCAACTTCACTTAGGCACCGCAACCCCGTCTAATCTCACCTCAACTTCACTTTTCTTATGTTGCCAAAACTTGCCGTGCATATATTCAGTTTTACTTTTACTCATCCAAAACCCTTACTTTTGAGTACTTCTCAATAATTCAAGCTTTTCTTTGATACACTCGCGAGTTTCATCACTTAGCACAACATCATATGGAAAAGCATACGATAAACATTAGTTATCGTCCACAACTAAGATTAGTTAGTTCATTATTAGTTAGCTCATCCACAACTAAGATAAACAAGTACGGACTCAATGCCACAATTAATCTTCTAAAGAAAGCGTCCGGAAGCATGGAACATTGGAAATGATAAGAACAGGAAAGTTATATTAGGTTTTAACTATTGTTAATGATTAGTCGTTCATCATGATGAATTCGAAATATAATGAAAAAGTAGAGGCATAGGCAACCATATTTGACACACTGCACACTTACCAACGGAAGTAATCACTTCTAATACCTAGAGGTGCGGCGAGCAGAATATCAGTAATCCATGGAGACAATGGCCTCAGCGGTTTCCTCTCGTGGTGCATAGAGGGCAAACTAGGTTCGCTATCAGCAGATTTACTTGTTGAAGCATGGTTTCCTCCACTGCTTCTATCTGCTCCACCTTCCTGTTGCACAACTTTGTAAATCGGGCGGTTGTAGTGTGTCAAAATTCGTAAAATCTCTCCACATGCAAGAGCCCACTGTTCTGAATATTCCTTCTGCATTTATGAGCAAGGAATTAGTTTGAAGACTCCTCTTTAGCAAGAAGTAGAATGCATTTGCTTGAAAGACCATTGTATTTACATGGCTCAATCCTTCAAATTGATAGTTCAAGATTCTGAGTACCTCACTGTTTGGGCAAACCAATGATATGAAAGAAGCAAAAGGCGGACAACTTTTGTCATAGTCCAGTGTTCCATCAATGATGCATGAAATAATTGGAAGAATTACAGCATGGCCATGATCTGGGTGGTGAAGAACAAAAGTTGCTGGAAATTAAAAGCAAATTAATCAAAAGACAGATAAAATCAATCAACCTCAGTAATCTTAAAGCATGGTTATCATGATACCTAAAACATCGTCAAAAAGTCGGTTTTCCTTGGATGGGTACCGGTGCCGTATCAGCTGCCAAGATAATACACATTAATCAGGAAGATTGAACACATTCAGCTAGGTAGAGAAACAACAACAACAGCAACAATAACCCAGTAAAATCCCACAAGTGGGGTCTGGGGAGGGTAGAGTGTACGCAGACCTTACCCCTACCCCAAGGGGTAGAGAGCCTGTTTCCGATAGACCCTCGGCTCAAGCAGAAGATCTGCTTGGGAGGATAGTTTCTGATGTGACTAAATACCTCAGCTATATCTTCAGGAAATTGTTCTGATGTGAATTGACCAAAGTACTCAACATAGGCAGTAATTTGAGCCTACAAAAGAGAATCAAGAAGGCTGTTATGACTGAAGATACAAATATCAGAAGACAGCAAACAAAAGAAAATACCAAATATCCTTCTACATACATTTAAATGTTCAAGATGATAACGCAATAAACACACATATGACCTATTCAAATCTATACATTAAAAAAATGCGGGTCATACTCATATACTATATTATAAGTGTGAAGCCCAAAGTGTAAGATTAAATTCCTAAAATACCCATCAAAACCTAAATGACCTTTTTACCCTTTACTTAAACACTATTTATATAATATTTTTGTTCCAAAAAGTAAACTTACCTTCAATTTTGTACTCAAGCATCTTATAATAAATACGTAGGGGTAATAATAATAGCCATTATAATGATGCTTGAAGATGTAGAGACTGAATGAATACTTTTAATACATGTACATATATTGTACACTAATCAAATGCAGCCCTTTAGTTACTCAGAAATGAGAAACCAGGTATATACAGAAATTTTTTTATTCAAGTATCACATATCTTTGAGATCAAATTTTAGAGTCTATGAAGAGTTCTCTTGCATCTGCCATAAAATTAACTTATCATTGCTTTAGAGTTTTTACATTTGTCCTTCAACATTAACCCTTTAAAAGCTAAATTAACCCTTCAACATTGATGTAGAAAAATGTAATTATAAATTTAGTTTACGAATTTTAAAAAGCTTTGTACTGATTAATATGGCACGTGAACAGAATCTAGTACAATAAGAAAGAGAAATACAATTCTCTGAGGGGTTTATCATAAATTTAATTTTGTTCTTTATTCTCAAGTTTTGCCTTATACTGCACTATGCTAGAAAGTTGGAACTTGAAGTGTTTGGTCCTGAAATGGAACACACATTCTATCTGAGAAGGAAAAAGTGCAAGAACATGTGCTGCAATGGTGGAAAACCAATCTCATTAAATTGGAAAAATTAAAACACGAAAATACAAGTGGTGCAATGCATCATTTGGCCTTTAAATCAGAGATAAAATAACTCTAGGGCCACTCACAGAAGCCACCAGGATTTGAAGTTTATGGGTTCCTGCAACAACCTCAAATTAATATACAATAATAATTAGGTTTACAGTCACATATTTATAAATATTTAGTGGATGTCTTAATTAATATTAATATATATATATATATACACACACACACACACATACAAGGTCTGAGCAAAAGTTATTAGACTCCCATGCCGCATAAATTGTGCTCGAGATCTGTCACGCTCCCCTGACCCCATACCCTAATGGAGAAGGCGCATGTGTTAGAGAGGTTTAGTTTGCTTCATGTCTCCCAAGAACATATTGTTCTAATTAGGTTAACATTTGCTAATGCCACTTCCTGTGTTGCTTTCTTAGCGAAATGCTTGCCGAGAAGATTCAACTACAATGGATCAACCCAAAGCACAAGCTTTATAGATTCTCTCACTCACAAGGAGAGGAGTTCATATACTAGCCTTATCTTCAATGTTGGCTCCATCGTCCAAAGTGCTAGTCTTTTTTTTCTCCCTGGACCTTTTGATCCCTACTCAAAGGCAAAAAGGGTAAAAAAAGGTGCCACGTTTTGCCAAGCTTTTGCATGCAAAATGCAAAGGAAGCATGCTAGTGAAGAAAGGCGCAATAAGGGAAAAAAATATTTGTTTGTTTATTCTTTGTATATATGCATGGAAAAAAACCATGCGCACAAGCAAAAAAAATTATGAAATAAAGGGACGTCAAAAAAGAAGGCAAATACTATATATGAATGATGTCAATAAATTACTTTTTTTAGAAAAGGTAATAAAATCAAACTAAGGACGATCCTTTTACATTCTGGTATATATGTACGGATACAACTTTAAATTTCTCATCCAAACTTACTAACAATCTTAACTAGATTTCTTATTTCATATTCCTAATTACTAATATTTTCACTTAACAATTATATATTGCTTTACAACAACATAACATACCCAGTGAATTCTCACAAATGGGATCTAGGGAGGGTAGAGGTACGCAGACCTTACCCCTACCTTATGCAGGTAGAGAGGTTGTTTCTGATAGACCCTCGGCTCAGGTAAGCACAGTCACAACAGTAAAGAAATGAATAACAAATCAGGAAAATATTATGAAAAGAAATAGAGGCAACAACAAGATAGTAACAAACTGGAACAGAAGCAACAACAGGTTATAATAGGGATCCTAGGATAGCCAGAACCAGAGTAATACTAAAGATATTGATATGGAAAGGTCGGACGCTATATTACCTACTAACTTTCTACCCTAATTCTCAACCTCCACAACCTTCTATCAAGGATCACGTCCTCAGTAAGCTGAAGATTCGTCATGTCCTGCCTAATCAGCTCTCCTTTATAATCTTAGGCTTTTCTCTACCCCTCCTGAAACCCACCATATCCAACTTCTCGCACCTCCTTAGTGGGACATCCGAGTATCTCCTCTTCATATGTCTGTACAATCTCGGTCTTACTTCCCGCATCTATTCCTCTATAGGGGCCACCCCCACCTTGTCCCGAATAACTTCATTCCGAACCCTGTCTCTTCTAGTATGTCCACACATCCATATCAGCATCCTCATTTCCCCCACTTTCATCCTCTGGACATGCGCGTTTTTAACTAGCCAACACTCTGCCACATACAACAAAGTTGGTCTAACCACTACTTTGTAGAACTTGCCTTTTAAGTCTTAGTGGAACCTTCTTATCACACAAGACATCAGAAGCGAGCCTCCATTTTCATCTAACATGCTGCAATATGGTGTGTGACATCCTCATCAGTCTTCCCATTACTTTGGATTACTGACCTAAGATACTTGAAACTATTCCTCTTGGGGATGACTTGTGAATCAAGCCTCACTTCTATTGCATCATCATGAGTAACGCCACTGAACTTGCACTCCATGTATTCGGTTTTAGTCTTGTTCAACCTGAAACTTTTAGCTTTTAGGGTTTTGTCTCCAAACCTCCAGCCTAGCTTTAACTCCACCCTACGTCTCGTCAATCAGCACTAATAATATACACCATGGTACCTCCCCCTGGTTGTGCCGCGTCAATACATCCATCTCCAAGGCGAATAAGAATGGGCTAAAAGAGTTGAACCCTAGTGCAACCCCATCACGATCTGAAAGTATCCCCAGTCACCTCCCGCATCTCTAACCATGGTCTTTACTCCATCATACATATCCTTAATCGCCCTAATGTATGCTACCGAGATACCTCTCGCCTCCAAGCACCTCCATTAAACTTCCCTCAGGACTTTTTCGTATGGTTTCTCCATATCGATGAACATCATATGCAAGTTCCTCTTCCTATACTACTCAATCAACTTCCTTATGAGATGGATGACTTCTGTTGTTGATCGCCCCAGCATGAATCCGAGCTGATTCTTGGATATAGATACTATCCTCCTCACCCTCATCTCCACCACTCTCTCCCACATTCATAGTGTAGTTTAGCAGCTTGATACCCCTGTAATTATTGCAGTTTTGAATATCACCCTTGATCTTGTATAGGGGGATCATCATACTCCACCTCCATTCTTCGGGCATCTTAGATGTCCTAAAAATGATATTAAATAGGCCAGTGAGTCATACAAACCTTCCTTACCTGCACTCTTCCAAAACTCCACCGGAATCTCGTCTGGCCCAGTTGCTCTTTCCTAGTTCATCTTACGCATAGCCCCTTTCGCCTCCTCGACAATATTGTTTTGCCAGCTATTATTATTGCTTAGACCTGCCCTCTTCAAGAAAGAACCTATGGAAGCAAATCTGCATCTTAGTGACCACACTAAAATTGCATCTAAGGTGAAGCGCGAAACCTGTATTGCAAATATGCACCTTAGTGACTACACTAAAATGGCGACTAAGCAAGGTGAAGCGTGCAACCTGTACGGCGCAAATACGCACCTTAGTGACTACTAAAATGGCATCTAAGCAAGGTGAAGCGCCAACCTGTACTGCAGGTAGCTTCACGACTTAAGTGTGTCTAAGCGCCCCTTAAATAACAAAATAAATAGGGAAAATATTTCAGGCAAAAACTAATGTTTCTCGGATACTGGTGCGAGCATTCTACATGTTGCGGATCAAAAAGAAACAAACGAAAAAACAAATAACTGAAAAGGAAAAAGCCTCAACAAAGCAAAATATCTGGTCTCTAAAAGTATGACAAAAAGTACTTAAACCAAACCAAAGCAATAGAAAAAATTATATAAATGACTTGTAATGTTAAGAGAAAATGATCACACCTTCCGTTGCTGTGCATCTTGAGGGGGAGGCCAAAATAATGAGGAGAATTGAAGGCCATCAATCCACCTCTCGCATGTAGCAGCCATATAACTGTTGTTAATCCAAGAATTTTAATCAGTATGAGAGGCTGCTCACAAGTAAGGCCAGCAAGTACCACTACCAATCAAGGATCCACAGATTGTAATTCAACATTCTTGGATCCCAAAGCAAAGGATGGTCCAGAACTTCTAACATGCAAAACCACCGAGCTTCAAGGTATCACTGGCTGAAACAATATGCAGAAAATGGGAATGTAAAATTTCCCTAATTAAATAGTAAGCAGATACTACCTACAACTATTTCTCCTGCAAAACAAAAACATTGTTCCTCAAACTGTTAGACAGATGCACAATGAAATAAGTATCTTCCATGAGCTAAAAAAGAAGGTTTATTAGTTCATCAAACCAATCACAGAAGTTCAGAAGTTTCATAACCCCTTTTATCAATTTAAATGCAAAATTCAACAATCCTATAATTCTGCAATAAATTTCCAGATTACTAACTTTTTTAGTTCCAATAAAAATTTAAAAATGATTAAATAAACTTAATAACATCAAATATTTTCTCTTGAAGATGCAGCTTAAGTCATCAAAATTGAATCTTGAATAACAGATACTACAACTTAAGATAGAGTCACATTACTTTGCTTGAACTCTCTAATCACTGAAATAACAAAATAAAGTTCAGAACTATCAGTACCCTTTGTATCAATTTTCACACTTTTTAACCAATTCCATTATAAACTGAGGCAAAAGCAAGAAATATGGAGCTAAAAATATAAAAGAAAATAAAAAAGTAATAGCAGAAAAAATAGAAAATTAAAGGGAAAAAAAGGAATACCTGCAATGGAAATTTTCTGAAAGTGGGTGCGTGAAAATCTTGTAAGGAATTTGAAGAAGATTGTTTCTACAGATTTTTGGGTGGAGGAGAAGAGAGAGAAAAGAAAATAATGTGAGGAGAGAGAAAGAAAGAGAGAGATACAGAGAGGAAGAGAAGAGATCTTTAGCTGAGCTCTCCCTCTTCCTTGAAATTTGCATACGTGGCTTTGATATTTTCCTTCACGCCTTAGTGCCCATAATGTGGCATGTCATTCAACCGCGTCATGGTAACATGAATGTATCATCATGACATGACATGCATGTGTCTCATGACAGTCTTCTGACACAAATAGCGACAATTAAAACATCTCGTACAGTTTTAGTGTGAGATTAGACAATGATTCGTTGAGTCGTGGCATTTTACTTAAGGCAGAATACATGGCAGGCCATTAAACTTGTCATTCCTTTTCACTTTGACATTCAATCTTGAGTTTGTTTCATTTGAACCCTATACTAAGGTTATTACTATATCACTATGGGTCATCTTGCGTGGGAATCACATAAGTTTAGTGCGTGACGATTATAAAAAAAGTTGACATGGACTATTCCAACGTTAATAAACCTAAACCCACGTTATTTTCTTTATTTTAACCCCTTTCTCCACTGTTATCTTCTCCCAAGTCCTAATTTCTCTCCAATTCAACAGAGCTAAATTCTTCATCAAGAAGTGAAAATCGGAGCTTTTTTTTTCAATTTGAAAGAACTCCATCCTCTTAGTCGAATTTTTGACGTAATCTTCCATGCTACTTCTCTTAATTTTTGTTCGAATAATGTCCCAGAACAACCAAAGTGTTGACTGGTGTCAATGTAGTAGTCCATGTGAACTGAAAATTTCATGGAGTGTTGCTAACCCATGAAGAAGGTACTTTGTATGCAAAATTGGCAAAGTAAGTGTATTCCACAAAAACTTCTTTATACGATTTTATTTTCCATTGATTTATATCACTTGATTTTTTTTATTTTTTGAAGGACAACGGGGGATGTAAATATTTTAGATGGTTTGAGGACGAGTTTCCTGAGCATGCGAATAGAGTTATATGGGGTTTGTTGAAGAGAGTGCAGGCATTTGATCAAGAAAGAGATCGAGCAAAAAAATAGAGGAACACAATAATGTTTATTGTTCTACTGGTGGCCTTAATTATATGGCTTTGTTGTGGTTCTTGCTCCTGTTGAGGGACTGAACCAAGTTTCTAGGAAAATCTTTGTAATTTAGACTAGTTAATGTAGTTAGTCTAGGGGAAATGTTGCTCTACTTTTGTTCATTGTTGTTGTACTTGAATAGTCTAGGGGAAATATTGCTCTACTTTTGTTCATTGTTGTTGTACTTGGGATGGTACGGATCCTATTTTGTGTAGTTGATACTACCTTATCAATGCAATGTATCTTTGTTTTGTTAAAAAAAATTTGTAATTATTTAATGTTTACTGCAATTCTTTAGTGTTCACTGCAATTCTTTAGAATTTAGGCTAGTTAATATAGTTAGTCTTATGAATGGAATGAAACTTACTTTATTGCAAAAGCTACTAAAAGAAGTGTTGCAAATTACAGAAGTGCATATTATAGTAGCAAAAAGGAATGGAACTTAGTTCACTGAAAATTAAAGAAGTGCTGGCATATTACATAATCCAGTTCCAAAAGATACCAGTAAGTCCAACAAACTACATTCAACAAAAAAAGCAAGTTTTAACAAAAAACAAGTGATGCATATTACATAATCTTGGTTGGTCACTAATTTTTTTGGCTAGTTTATCCATGATCACTTGAGTTGAAAACTGAGATGGTGCTTGTGTTCCAACTTTGTTTCTTCTACTTGCACTTATTTGCTGCAGTTACGAAGTAATAATTGCATCTCTCCCATTCTCTCTAAGTCCTGCAAGCCTAATTCTATCATCCAGATTCACATCAGTGGTGGTCCTTACTCTAGTCTCATGGTTGACAACCCTTTTACTTGACAAATCAGGCTGCAATTGTATAAAATCAGAAACCTAAGTAAGTAAAAATAACCAGGCTGCAAAAATAACTAGAAACCATGCTGCAAAAACCAGAAAACTAGAAATTAAGATTCTTACATTAAGTATTGTCCTTCCAGTGTTAGTGTAGCATCCAAAGCCAACAGTTCTTAGTCATTTTTTCCTAGAAGCAGTAGATGATTCTGCAGTTGCAGGTCCATTTCCCTTTCCTTTTCCAGCATATGAAGATCTTCTTGCTACCTTTAGTTTTGGGGCTGTTCCCTAGGAGCAGTCTGAGGAAGTGCATTTGGAAATGCACATTTTGTAGGTCTAATAGTTGTACTAGGTGCCTTTCCTCTTCCCCTGTCCCTTCTTCTATTAACAGTTGTTGTTGTTTTATCACACATTGAACACCTTTGAGTTGGTTGACTTGATTGACTTTCTTGTGCTTCTTGTCTACTTGATGACCCTCTAAATGTACTCTAAAATGAATACATATATACAACTAATTTCAGCTTAAATGATTAATAGAAAGTTAGATAAAAATATATCATACCCTTAGTGTACATGCTTTTTTGTTGTGGCCTACTTAATGACATTATGAACATGTCATCTTGACTCCTTTTTTGACAGTTTTCCCCATTTCTTCTTAGGTTCATTCTTGTACTTCCTTCTATTTTTTAGGGATATGTCTGGCATTGACTTTGGGGCTGGTGGTTCAATGGTAGGATTATTACTCTCAGGCCACATCTTCAGGTTAGGAATTGGTTGAATGAAGTGTTCATAAGCCTTCATAAATATTTCCCTTGTGTACCAATGCTCCACATATTGATCTGGATTATCTTGTAGGTAATAGCATGCACACACAACATGTTCACATGGGATGCCTCTCAGCCTCCAAAGTCTACAACTACAAGTCTTCATCCTAGTATCAACTATAAACCAAATCTTCTTTTTTATTTCAAATCCATCCTGCACATTCCATATAACTTGGCACTGTCTAGCCATAGGTTATATATCTGAATTCATGTTTCAACAAATTTTATCATATCAACCTATCTAGAATGATCTTATGCCTAATCTCCTCTAACATGGTAACAATACTTTTGTGCCTAGCATTCAATATTTATGAGTTAAAAGTCTTACATATGTTATTCTCTATTATGTCATACCTGGAATGTTCTTGAAAGAATGCCTTGCACCTTGACTCTCTTGGATGCTTCATCATATCTTCACATATAGCAGAGCCAAGTTTTCTCATGTTTGCAACTTCATTGTTGTACTTAAACAGATAGTTGGCCTTTGCAACCCTCCAGAATTATTTCCTCCTTTCTTCTCCCTTCCATTTCTTAGACCAGTTAGACCATATGTGCCTTGAACACATTTTTTTTATTCTGTCATAGGTAATAACTCTTTAACTGATACCAAAAGCCCGTGCAAAATAATATATACAACATTAGAAATTAAAATAGAAGATAGAATACCAACAACTAATAAACATAAATAAATTGTTTGCCTTTTGCATATCTGACATTACTGTTAAGCCATGACCTTCACCTAGTTGCAAATCTTCTATCAAGTGACTAAGAAACAAACTCTATGAATGTTTAGTTTCATGGTGTACAACAGCCCAAGTAATAGGAAACATCTGTTGGTTCTCATTTCTTTCCACAACCACTAGTAATTCACCCTTACAACTTCCCTTTAGGAACAACCATCTAAACTAATTATGTTCCTACATCATTCTAACCAACCTTTCTTGAGTGCATAAAAACAGACATAGAAGTTCTGAAATAATTTCTTATCAGGCTCAGATTCTATGTCAATTTTCACAAAATAGGAGCTGCCGGGATTAGTTTCCTTAATACTATCAGCATATTCACACAATCTGGCAAACTCCAGCTTTCAATCCCCTATAAACTTTCTTAGAACAATCTGTTTGGCTCTATAAGCTACTGTTCTGCCAATATACAATCCTAACCTCTCTCTAACTAGTTCTTGAATTTCCTAGATTCTCATATAGCGAGCAACAGTAAGTTCTTTATTGAATTTGTTGGCAATGTATTTTGAATTACACATCTTGTTGGTGTTCATTGGTTGATATTTATGAACAGGATGGTACTATTTGATCATAAAGTCACCAGAATCTCTATCAACTAAAGTATACAACTCCCATTTGCATTTTTTTGATTTACACTACACCCTTACCCTACCCTTCTCATTCGGTTTAAGCTTTAACTGAACTTTATACTCTATTGCATAATCAGTCACTACCTTTCTAAATTCTCCTACATTCTTAAATATCATGCCCAACTCAAAAATTACCATTTCACAGTCAGTGTCATATCTAACCTTTGTGCTCTTTCTTCTACTTGGAAGGTCAACACCAGACCGAAAATCCACCTCTACCTCTTCATCAGTATCATCAGTTCTAGTATCAGAACTGTCAATGAACTCCTCATCACCTCCTAATCTACCAACATATTTTCTTTTTATGTTAAATCATATATCTTCAAAATCCCTATCAATTCCAGCTTCTCATACATGCACACTAGTAGTTTCAGGTTGTTTCTTCTTTTTGGTAGCATTCTTTTTAGTTCTCCTCTCATTTCTGAAGGTCCTAGCCTCTTCATCAACTTCACTATCATCCTCATAAGGAAGTTCATCAAGATCTGACTCACTACTAGCTACCTCTGAAGCAACCTCTTCTTCATCAACCCCTTCTCCACCATTCAGATTCTCTACACTAGCAACTTCCTCTTCTACATTACCAGAAAAATCTTCCCCACCAACAGCAGCCTCTTCACCACCAATAACAGTCTCAAACTCTTAAAATGGAGGCTTTTCAACAAGTTGTGGTCCATTTATATTGTTTGGACCATCTTCTACTGTTGCCTTAGATGGATTATTTATTGTGTTGTTACTTTCGCCAACAACCTCTGGCCCACATAAATATCCAATTGGGACCACACTATCAGAAATTATCTTAACAACATGTGAAATGTACAAGTCTAAAATACCCTCCTTACAATAACAAGTAATATTATATAGTTGTTCATCATTTTTCACCAAGATAAATTCTTTGAAATTAGGGTTAAAGACAAAAAAAAACCCAACAGTTGCATAATCCAACCCCCTTATGTAATATTGAAGTTCAAACAGGGAGAAATGGTCTTTGTCAGTAGAAATTATCTCTATATTAGTGACATATTTGGTACCTGGAGATTCGGTAAATGTTCCACCATGATAAAAGCGAACAAGAAGGTATCCGTCTACTGACATGATTTTAACTTAAAGTAAACAAATAAAAGTAATACATGAGCACAGTCAGCAAGATTCGAAGAAAAGAAGTGAAAAACCTATTTTTATATTTATAATTCCCAAAACACCGTTACTAACACAAAAACCCTAATAAATAACTAATATCTCAATAAAAGAGTAACTCGAGACATACTAGTAAAGGAGTAACTCGAGACAACACTCTTGCTGAAGGACACCCAAAATAATCGACTTCACAATTTCTTCAGATAAAAAATTGCAGATGATAAACGAAGACGAGAGTGAAATTTGGACGATTTTCAGGTAGTTAGCTTCAATCTTTTATGAGAAGTAGTAGATGATTTCATAATCTCTCTAATGGAGCAATAGATTTTGAAGGGGAAGAAGATAGACGGAGACGGGGTGAGGTTAGGATTTTTTTTACTGAGGGCTGTAAAGATTAAAAGTAATTATAAGGGTTGGGCAGTTTAACCTGAACCTGATTTGTTTGACTTGGATTTATCCGGTACACATGGATCTTACGTGGACAATAATTTCACATGGAAGAAACTTATTCGTCGGCTATTACATGTTAGCGGCGCTTATATACACACGCTTGACTTATAAAAGCACATGTTTTTTTTATATTTCAAATTGACAAAGTAATAACCTTGTTATAGGGTTCAAATGGAACAAACTCAAAAGTAAGTGTCACAATGAAAAGGGAGAACAAGTTTAATGGCATGCCGATGTATTCTGACTTTACTTAATACAAGATGAGGCATAAGTCATGAGACAAAAGGCATGGATCCATAAATCTTTTAAATATTTTAATTTGTAAATTAATAAAATAGTATAACAACACAAAAAATAGAAAACTACATTAAATATTTAAGAAAACTAAAAAAAATAAGAAACTCATAGAAAATAAAATATCCAATATGTTTTTAAAAATATAAATAATACAATAGGTATAAGATAAAAACCAGTTATAACGTATTAAATTTCAAACAATTAAAAATATAACAATCTCTTAAAATTATCAAACTATTATACGTCGCTAAAAGTAAATAATCAATAAAGTTTTTCAGTACTATAACTTAAAACAGTACTCCTTCATGAATAAGGACATGATTACTTTTAAAAAGGTAAAATAATAAAAGACTGATTATTTGGAGAGACATATTACTAAGACGTGAAGACAAATAACAAATATAAATTTCGACTATCTATTTTCAAAACAAATGTTCAAGTGCTATTTACTCTCACAATGTTCATAATTATTAAATTTTCAATAGCCTATGATTTATTGTTTTAGTTACTCTCATTCTTCATATATCTAGAGATGTTTGAATGTCAGTGGTGTTGTTAGCAGAAACGTAAAAGAAAGAACATAAGATTTAATGTGGTTCGGATCAAAATAATCCTGCGTCCACCAGAGAACAGTTGCCTTTTTAATATTAACAAAGGAAGGGGAGATTTCCCAATTACACTTAAGAGAATTTCTCTCTTAACTCTCTACTCACTACAATGTATTGTATTATTTTTGGGATGATTTCTACAAATGAAGGAGTGCATCTATTTATAGAGGTAAAGACATCCTCTAGATGTCATTGGTGACATCAAACTACCTCCTATTGATGTCATGGGTGACATCAAAGGAGGAAGCTTCCTCCTAGCATCCACACCAACTCTTCCAATTGGCATGCCATTGTTGACTAAACATAAACCAACACTTTCAATCTCCACCTTGGTTTGCGTTTCGAGCGTGCGTGTAAACAACTCTGGCCAAAACTTCTAAGCTTACAAGGCAACCCCGTTGTAAGAACAAGAAGAATCAAACCATTGTTGAACATACTACCTCTACCTAACAACTGTTCTCTTCGGAGTTGCATCAGTTGATGCACACCCCCGCCAAGTCCTTGCAGTATGCAAACTTAGCGAGCGGAACTATCTTGGTCAACATATCTGCAGAATTATCGTATGTGATAACCTTCACGACATTGATAGTTCCCTCTTCAACAACATCTCGAATAAAATAAAATCTGACATCAATATGTTTAGTGCGCTCATGAAATCTCTGATTTTTCATTAGATGAATAGCACTCTCACTATCATATCTAAGAGTTGATTCCAGCTTAATCAAACTCAATTTCTCTACTGAACCTTTCAACCAGATAACTTCCTTCACCGCCTCCGCTGCTGCCATGTATTCTGCTTTTGTCGTAGGCAAAGCGACAATTGATTGCAGAGTCGACTTCCAACTAACGGCACTGCCAACGAGGGTAAAGATGTATCCAGTTGTGGGCCTTCTTCTGTCAAGATCTCCTGCATAGTCAAAATCTACATAACCGAGAATTGAAATACTTCCACCACTTTTTCGAAAGGTCAGACCAATACTAGAAGCTCCTTTGAGATATCTCAATATTCACTTGACAGCTTCCCAATGCCTCTTTCCTGGGCTGGACATGTATCTACATACTACACTTACAGATTGAGCAATATCTGGACGTGTGCATATCATAGCATACATAATACTACCGACTGCACTAGCATAAGGAATATTTGACATATGCTCCACCCCATCCTCGGACTGAGGCATTTGTAACTCTCAAAGTTTAAAATGAGGAGCTAATGGTGTACTTACAGGCTTGCACGTATGCATATTAAATCTCTTGAGAACCCTTTCAATATACCTCTTCTGAGAAAGATGTACAACACCGTCTTCTTTTGAAATCTCCATACCAAGGATTTTCTTTGTAACTCCTAAATCCTTCATGTCAAATTCCTTACTCAACAATTTCTTCAAAGCATTTATCTCTATAATGTTGTTAGCAGTAATAAGCATATCATCAACATACAACAATAAATAAATCATTGAGTTACCAGACGTCTTCTTGTGATACACACAACTATCAAATGCACTCCTTGAGAATTCATGTGTAGTCATGAATACATCAAACCTATTGTACCACTGTCTAGGGGATTGCTTCAAACCATACAAAAACTTCTTTAGTTGGCATACGTGATCTTTTTTTCCCTCAGCTAGGAAACCTTCAGGCTGATCCATATAGATTGTCTCTTCTAGATCACCATGTAAGAAAGTAGTTTTGTCATCAAGCTGTTGAAGCTTCAAGTCAAATTGGGCAACCAATGCTAGTAGCACACGAATTGAGCTATGCTTCACGACTGGAGAGAAAATCTCATTGTAGTCAATTTCCTCCTTCTGACTGAAACCTTTTGCAACCAATCTCGCCTTGAACCTAGCATCTTCTACTTCAGGAATTCCCTTTTTCTTTCGGTAGACCCACTTGCATCCAACTGTCCTCTTCCCTTTTTGTCTTTTCACTAAGACCCATGTCTGATTCTTGTGAAGAGACTCCATTTCTTCGGTCATGGCTAACTGCCATTATACAGCATCCTTGCAAGAAGTTGCTTCAATATACGAGGAGGGCTCCAGATCCTTAATCTCTTTTTGTGCAACTACGAACGCATATGCAATCAAGTTTGCTTGATTTATAAGGCATTCTGGTTCTCGTATCTGCCTCTTCTCCTCCCCTTCGCAATTGTGTATGGTTCATTGACAGCAAGTTCTTCAAGGTCTACATCTTCTAACTTATCTTTAGCCTGAGTCTCTTGATCCTTTTCCTTGGCAAGCTCCGTCGGAAGCTCCACCTGCTCGTCATTCTTGTTTCCTGAAAACTCCATGGAAACTTTACGGGGATCAAGTATAGAGGATTCATCAAAGGTGACATCTCTACTAACTATAAAATTTGAGTAAAGACAAACACCAAAGTTTGTACCCTTTTACTCCATCCACATACCCTACGAATATGGCCTTCTTAGCCCTTGGTTCAAGCTTTCCTTCATTAACGTGATAATAAGCTGGACACCCAAATACTCGTAAGTATGAATAGTTAGAGGGTTCACCTGACCATACCTCATTCGGAGTCTTAAAGTCAATTGCCGATGCTGGAGATCGATTGACAATATGAGCAGCAGTGTGAACTGCTTCAGNCGATGCTGGAGATCGATTGAAAATATGAGCAGCAGTGTAAACTGCTTCAGCCCAAAATACTTTAGACATTTTGGCTTGTAGGAGCATACAACGAGCCTTTTCAATAAGAGTTCTGTTCATTCTCTCAGCAACTCCATTCTGCTGTGGGGTATGCCTGACAGTCCTATG